AGGGATAGTAGGCCTGATACCGAATTTATGGCGGTGCAATAATGGCTGTAACCATTCGGCCATTACACCATCCCGATGGACGGGGTGGCGGGGGAGAGAAGAGGAGAGGGGGGGGGGGGGGAGTCGTACTGGCCGATTAATCCCATCGAGCGGTAGTCACTTTCGTCTCCCGCGTGGAGGTTGATGCTCCTTCAAAAGATGCAAGCTCGTCAAAAGCGTGACTGGTCGGGCCTGACAGCCGAGGCTATACAATGCCCGGTTGGTTGACAGGCAGACTCCCCGACCTGTCGCCTCACTCGTCACCAAGTGGTTTGGGAAGCATTATGGTGAAGCATTCCGCGTGCATAATAGCTATTATGCATTTCGCCATAAGACTGCACACTTTATTGCGCTACTGCGTCCTGGTGTGTCTTAAGGGACGATTAAACATGTGTTATAAGATGATCAGATGAAAAGTGGGCTATTCATATGGCTCTGTCGACGGTGGTTTTAAATGATCGCCGAATCTGACCATAAATCTATTACCGGGAGTCTCATTTCCAATCAGGATGTCAACCTGGACCAAACTCCTTACTACTGACAGCTAAAAAGGACTACCAGCCAGCGGTTTCACCGAATCCGCTGTCGTCTCTGCCCAATCACAAGGCGATCTGGCCGGATTCCGCCTGGGAAACTACGTCACCATCAGATCTGTGATGCGAGGCGAGGGCCGACCGGCGGCGGCTGGGCACTCTCGGCACGCCGCGCCGCCCAGCCGTGCAACAATGGCCGTGGTGGCACGCGCCAGCCGCCGCCGCCGCCGAGACGGCTCCATAACAACGGACGGCGCCATCGCAGAGTTCCCCATGATGCCCCACCGAGCGGTACCACAGACGGCCAGGAGGGTGGGCGGGCCGAGGGGCGCGCGGCGGCGGCGCAGGGGCCCAACAGTCTGTCGTTTGACAGCAGAGGAATCACTTCACATCTCAACCTCTTCATAGTGTGCTTCTGTTGAACAGGACCAAAAGCACACCAACGGCAAGGACATTAATGCCAGCAGAAGATCTAAACACCATTTGCGTCTGGGCGGACATGAATTGCACCGCATATAAAGAGACACTTATTCTGCCAGGGAGACAAGTTATTCGGGCGACTAGCAGTAGCCACACGTCTGGGCAGCCGAGCGAGACTGCCCCGCTCACGTGCCTCTCATGAATGTATCGGAGACATGGCCGTGACCTTCCGCTGCGTGCCGGCGCCCTCGCCAGCACTGCAACATGACGACCGGCTAATGGCCGAATTACGCGTGCTTCCTGCCCCGCGCCTGGCCGATAGCCCCGGCCGTCATGAGCTGGGCAGACTTACGCCCCGCTGCGTGCCGCGAGCCGCCTCCAGACACGAGCCGCCCGCGCCACGGCAAGAATGAAACCATGAGTGTACGAGTCCGCGCCGGATCGGAAGCGTCTCTCGCGTATGACTTCGGCATGCGTAGCGGCGGCCGGGCGGCGCGCGCGCCACGCTCCAGGGCCGTCACGTCGCGTCGGCCGTTATTTTCCGGTGCGCCAGTGCGCCAGTGGCGCCGCACCTGCGTCGGGTCGGTCGCCGGCTGAGGCGCTGAGCCACCCGGAGGCCTCTGAACGGCCAGGGTGATCGTTTCATGGTCTGAGGGCCGACGGCCGGTAATGGGAGACGTTCGTGCCTCGTGGCCTGTGATTACCACGATTGCGTCAAATGCATCTTCCGTCGGGGTACCACCTGTCTGCGTTTGTCTCCCATTTTCGGCGTTTTGGTGATGGTCTGATGACTACACTCCATGTGTGGCAAAGGGTGCACGGTACGGACTGCTTAGACACGAGACAGAACGCGTTTTTTGTGTCCGGCTTCGCTTCAGCAGTTCGTCCGTCATAGCCGACAAATCGAGTCAATAATTACCTCCCTGATCGAGACAGGGGGAACCGATTCAGACAACGCCGTCCGCCCAGGTGTTGAAGCGACACCGAAGTCGGTCTGAAAATGTGATCACGCCACATTGCAGTTTCCTTGCAATAACTCGTGCCGCCCGCCATGTTTTGCAGGATACGCTTACGATCCGGGATGCATCTACATCAACGGCACGGGAAGGCCGGTGTACGAGTTCCTGATTCAGCTGAACCGGTGCGGCACGCTGGGCGGGCAACAACAAGAGAGACGTGGAGGCCAAGGGGCGGGATATCGCCGGCGTGAGTACATGACGGCCGCGGAGACCCGGCGGCAGCCCAGGCCTAGACGTCCTGAAGTTTAATATGTCACTGGCTCGGAGCCCGAGTACCCAAAGTACCCAAGGAGATTGGGCCTTAGAGGCCCTGGGACGGGGAGGAATCCGACGTGAGCAGCGCAGGCAAAAAGACACACACATGGAGAGCCATGAGCTGGATTAAGGTCCTTCTGTCTCGTGATGACAGCAGCCATTGCAAAAAAGATCGATTCGCTCTTGGAGTGAGCAAAAGCGTTTCTCGTAGACCTGCAACGAGAAAAAAATCATAAAAACCTAATGTTCTCAGTACATCTGATGTGTACCATGTGCATTCGAGCATGTCGACGAACAAACTAGCGTTTTTCATAGCCGGATTAACAGACTGTGAAATCATAAGGCCGTCACCTTGAAGCATCCTGCAGAACGATTAACTCCCCGTTGCTTCTTAGAAGAGACATACCACTCGATCCATTCCCTGCTGCGACGGTTAATTTGACTCATTGTTATGTAACAACGATCATTTTCAAGCTGATGATAGTGAAACTACCTTCTTCCTGTGTGGATTCACGTTAAATAGCAACTAAAAACGTATGTTGGCGGCGGTATTCAGCAGGCCATCCAGGTGCAGGGTCCGCCGACACCTGAAGCGCGCCATGACGCCTTTAGTGCGCCACGCTTGGCGCGCGGGCCGGCCGCGTGCTGCCACATCCTGCGCGGGTTCGGCGCACCGAGCGTGTTACTGACGGGGTGGTCGGACCGGGCACGCTCGTGCGCTGGGCCCGCATGCAGACGCCCATTACACGACGTAGTCAGCTGGCGGAACCGAACAGCCACCCGGCCGGGCCCCGGGTCCCAGAGGGGCCTCCCGACAAGCGACGCGGGCAGATCATGGCGCGAGAAGCTGGAGGGGCTGAAAAGAAGGGGGACGAGTGCTGGAGAGCTGCTCAAAAGTCGGAATCCTTCAATGACGATTGGCTTTGAACCGCGCTGTTGAGGGCAGGAACCTCATGGGACGGACACATGTGTGCTGAGTCTCGGTGCAGACAGATTGGAAAATCAGTAGCCCCTTCCAGACCGTGCGTTGAACAGATAAACTTCTGCGCGCCTTGTCCTCCAGCCTTCGTCCCGTACGAGTCCGTCGAAAAGACATTCCTGGAACGCTGGAGACTGCTGCATCATACCACGGCTGTGCAAGTGACTGTATGTGAAGACCGGGTGCTTTTGGACAGACTGACATCCAGCATCGTAGGCTGAATATTTTAAAACAAATGAAATTATGCTAAATCGGAGCTGCAAAGAACGACCTGAATACAGCTGGACAGGTTTCCCTTGAGTGGATGTGATGGATGCTTCCTGTAAGGGAAAAGTCCGGGGACTGAATGCCAACTCATGCTGATGGAAACAATGACTTCAGGTAACACCTGTCCTGTGGTGACGTCACGCTGGTTCCACTTTCGATGCACTCGGTACAACCCCAGCGTCACAGTCACGGTGTCCGATCCGACCCCGCTCCGCCCAGGGCAGCCACCCATAACCCGCGGCTGCCGCAGGTGGCCGCCGTCAGCCGCCCCCGACGCCCCTCAGCCGCGTGCCAGGCGTCGGTCCATTTGGCCGTTCGGCGCCGCTGGCGGCGGCGGCCGGACGGGACGACGGCGTCGGGTCACCGTCCCCGCCCGCCGGGCCAATCGCCGACCGCCGGCCAGTGACCCTCCGCGCCGATTGGCCGCGCTGGCCGAGCCCCCCGCCGGCGGGCCCTGGGGCGCCGACGCCCAACAGGCAGCCAGACGCTCGCACCCCTCAACTACCGCCATTCCGCGCGGGTGTAGACGGACCACGGCCACCGGGGTGGAAGGGGGAGGGGGGGGGGGGGCAGCAGACGGAGGCGAGAGGACACACAGAGCGGTACCCCGCTGTCCCCTCGTACCGCTGCAGCGGAATTGTGCCGCTCTTGGGCAGGACACGGGAAATTTGCCGGCGATTTGAAGCCCAGACTTTCTCAGGACTTTTTCTGGGAGAGCCAGCAAGCGTGCGAACCAGGTATGCCACAGTAACACGCTAGTAAAAGCACGGCTTTATCGCCTCATCGGAAGTGGCGTGGGCATACCGGAGTAAATTGCCCGTTTGCAAAGAACGGAAACGCTTGAGAATGCAACACCCATACTTCGTTTCTGGGCGTGAGGGGGCGAATCGTCGTTCGGAATTAGCGCAACATGCAGTGTTCTTGTATTATCTCGTCGTGTCTGATCACTGTGTGCACTCTTCCGCAGAAAAACTTCATGTGGAACACGGTGTCAGTGCAGTACAATGCAATGATTGAGGAGGAGTGGGACGAACACTTCAAGGTGACCTGCGAGTACGGCTACGACATTTGGAAGACGGTCACCTTCCCCTTCCTGGACGTTGAGTGAGTATCGTCCGCTTTGCTTACACCGTGGACAACATGCACTGCAGAGAGAGTCCATGTTTTTGCTACAGCCTTGGACGTATGTCCTGCCCGAATGCTTGCGTTGGCGATGCTGACGGCCGTACCCCGGCTGAAGCCACACGCTGTGCGGCCCCGGCGCGCCAAATTTCTAATTCAGAATTCGCACCGGAAAGATGGGAGAGCGGATGAGCACGCTAATGGGTGGAATCCTTACCGGTCAGGTCACTCACCTCAGTCATTATTGCAAGCAAGAATATGCATGCTCATAGCTGTTGCGTGCCGGCGCCAGGCGGCTCGGCGCACCACGCGTGTCGGCTGCCGGGGACCGCTGTGTCACGGCGCCAGTGCCGTGAGGAGTGTCCCGCTGCGTCACGGCGCCAGTGCCGTGAGGAGTGTCCCGCTGCATCACGGCGCCGGTACCGTGAGGAGTGTCCCGCTGCGTCACAGCGCCGGTACCGTGAGGAGTGTCCCGCTGGGTCACGGCGCCAGTACCGTGAGGAGTGTCCCGCTGCGTCACGGCGCCGGTACCGTGAGGAGTGTCCCGCTGCGTCACGGCGCCAGTACCGTGAGGAGTGTCCCGCTGCGTCACGGCGCCGGTACCGTGAGGAGTGTCCCGCTGCGTCACGGCGCCGGCACCGTGAGGAGTGTCCCGCTGCGTCACGGCGCCGGTACCGTGAGGAGTGTCCCGCTGCGTCACGGCGCCGGTACCGTGAGGAGTGTCCCGCTGCGTCACGGCGCCGGTACCGTGAGGAGTGTCCCGCTGCGTCACGGCGCCGGTACCGTGAGGAGTGTCCCGCTGCGTCACGGCGCCGGTACCGTGAGGAGTGTCCCGCTGCGTCACGGCGCCGGTACCGTAAGGAGTGTCCCGCTGCGTCACGGCGCCGGTACCGTGAGGAGTGTCCCGTTGCTGCACGGCGCCGGTACCATGAGGAGTGTCCCGCTGCTGCACGGTGCCGGTGCCGTGAGGGGTGCCCCGCTGCTGCACGACACTGCAACAGTGATAGGTGCCCCGCTGCAGCACGACACTGCAACAGTGAGGGATATCCCGCTCCTGCACGACACTGCAGAAGTGTCACACCACGCGCGGAACCCTTCATTCTTTTGGAATCAGAAGGTAGAACGCCGAGGTGATTCCAACTCTGACTTATCGCACGCTGGCTTATTTTGATTCTGCTTCGAGCAACAAAACGCAGCTTTAAAGTGACTCAAATTTTCAGCCAAAGTGGCACGTGTCCATTCTGGAATCGATTCCGATGAAGTCGATTTTGGTGCCAGCAGTTGACATAAAATGTTCATTTTGGCCTCATGAGAGCCTGCATTGGCTTTTTGAAATGATAAAAAACCAGCTATACTCTAGTGCAGTCTAAACTGTCACACTTTTCGTGTATGCTCTTTCATATATTTCTATTGACTTGACTCACGTTTGACTGACTCATACTCGTCTATGAATATCAGCAAAATCAACGGAATCACACTGACTGAATGCAATTTTGGTTCATTTCGGGATTGGCCCCATCCCCACCCGCCGTCAAACACAAGCCTGGTCTTCATCATGGCGGGAAGCCGTCTTTGGTGTGACTTCCTGTCACCGACGTGGTTTTTGCAGTGCGATTGTTTTCATGAGTGGTGTGTACAATGCACACCGTGTGCTGCGCGTGACGGTACCATCACCGTGAAGCGGTAAAGCAGCAGCATAATAGGATCACCATGTTCGGTGCAGATGTGCGCTAAGTCACTGCATGGGGCTTCCGGCTAGGACAATGACAGGACAATGATAGGACAATGATAGGAGGACAGCGATAGGGACCTTACATATCATGTTTGCTTCTTCCTTTCCGTTAGGCTACACTTGCATTTCCGTTTTCCTCCCCTCGCTTTCCTTTTCCCGGGGATGCGCTACCATCTTTGTTCCACTCGCGCCTCTCGGTCTCCGAATTTTCTGAGGTAACCTCAGGTGACCCGAGTAGTCCGATGTGACCTCAGGTGACCTGAGCCGTCCGGGATGGCCTCAGGTGATCCGATCTGTCCGCTGTGACCTCCAGTGGCCCGAGTCCTCCGGTGCGACCCCAGGCGACCTGAGCCGTTTGGAGTGACCTCAGGTGACCTGAGCTGTCCGGAGTGATCTTAGGCGTCCTGGGCCGTCCGGAGTGATTTCAGGCGTCCTGGGCCGTTCAGAGTGGATCTCAGGTGAACTGAGCTGTCCTGAGTGATCTCAGGTGACCTGGGCCGTTCGGAGTAATCTCAGGTGACCTGAGCTGTCCGGAGTGATCTCAGGTGATCTGGACCGTTCGGAGTGACCTCAGGCGTCCTGGGCCGTCCGGAGTGATCTCAGGTGACCTGAGCCGTTCGGAGTGACCTCAGGCGTCTTGGGCCGTCCGGAGTGACCTCAGGCGTCCTGGGCCGTCTCCAAGCCTCACGTGGGCTCTCCTTACAGGACCCAGACAGGTAACCCGGTGGTGTTTACTCTGAGCCCACCCGAGTGCTACATGGAGATCCGCTACGGCTACGGCACCACCGGTAACCGGATCACGGGGCCGGTCCGCGTGGGTGATCCGCTCACGCTGATCATCTACATGCGCAGCCAGTACGGTAAGTGGGACCCCACAACGTTGAAGGGTTGGCAGCCTGACAAAATCCCACGCATTGAGTTCTGAGTTGTACGGGGTTAACCCAAGTCTTTTGTCTCTCATTTCGGCACTCTGAGGGTGCGACGGAAGAAGCTATCCACCTTGGTCTGTGCTTCCCGCCGTTGAGTGCGAGGTTGCAGCATATCGAATGCTGGCTCGCTGGCAGCTGCTGGCCGCTGGTCGCTGGTCGCTGGCGGTACGGCCGCTGGCCGCTGGTCGCTGGCTGTACGACCACTGGCCGCCGGCAGTTGCTGGCCGCTGACCACTGGTCGCTGGCAGTACGGCCACTGGCCGCTGGCAGCTGGCAGCTGCTGGCCTCTGGCCGCTGGTCGCTGGCGGCACGGCCGCTGGCTGCTGGCCGCTGATCGCTGGCGGTACGGCCGCTAGCCGCTGGCAGCTGCTGGCCGCTGACCGCTGGTCGCTGGCGGCACGGCCGCTGGCTGCTGGCCGCTGATCGCTGGCGGTACGGCCGCTAGCCGCTGGCAGCTGCTGGCCGCTGACCGCTGGTCGCTGGCGGTACGGCCGCTGGCTGCTGGCCGCTGGTCGCTGGCGGTACGGCCGCTGGCTGCTGGCAGCTGCTGGCCGCTGGCCGCTGGTCGCTGGCGGTACGGCCGCTGGCTGCTGGCCGCTGGTCGCTGGCGGTACGGCCGCTAGCCGCCGGCAGCTGCTGGCCGCTGGCCGCTGGTCGCTGGCGGTACGGCCGCTGGCTGCTGGCCGCTGGTCGCTGGCGGTACGGCCGCTGGCTGCTGGCACGTCGCACCCCTGTCGCGGCTGACCGTTATCCGCCGGTCGCGGGTCCTCAGCCGGGCGCCCTCTGTGCCGGCGTTTTTGTGTTGTTGGTTTGCCGGGAAGTACGTCTGTCGTGCCGATACGGCCAGTGGCGTCCAAGCTGTGGCGACCCGGCCGCCCTGACTAACGGCTCCTGCTGGGCCGGCCGGCCCGCGCGGAAGGGGCGGGGCAGCCGATCTGCGCGCGCAGGTCGCACCTCCTCCGATAAACCCTCGTGGTAGCGGACTGCAGCAGACGCCGAGCGCTCTGAAGCTTGCTGTTTTTAGCCATCGCTGCCAGATCTTAACAGACCGATGTTGACGGCTACCTTTGCAGATGGATTTGACATCGTGGTCAGCGACTGCTACGCCCATAACGGAGCCGACAAGAAAATATCGCTGGTGGACCACTACGGGTATGAAAAAACAGGCAACTGATTCAGTTGCATCAGAGCTATTTCGTCCATGACGCACCATTTTGGACCTCTAAGATGAGAGTTGTATAGCAGTACTGTGACTATCCCGAGCGTCACTGCTACCAAGTCTTCCTCGGCACAATAGCCCCAGTTCGGAGCGTGCTCTTGTGCTCGGGATGGGCTCACAGTCAGGGCGAGCTTGAGGCCGGCCCCTGGGTGACGGCTCTAGCATGTTCCCTAGACGGCTATAGCCTGTAGTGAGTTGAGTCATCGTGAGGGTTCAGGATGAGGCGGGGACGGGGTGAAAGAGTGCAAAAAGCGCCTGGGTCAGTTTGTTCCTTGCGGTTTCTGTGCCGTTTCATGTCACCGCAAGATTGTGATGCATGCGATCTGGCTCGCGTGAGCACTCAGTACCACACAAGGAAGCGTCAGATTCTTTCGCCGACGGCCGGTGCCAGCCGTGCGTGAAGGGAGGCGCACGCTGCTCCGCACCGCCAACCACACAGAACCGCTGCAATTAAAGTAATGCCGTAATGTATGACACCGGAATGGAATTACGGTATGCGACGACGATTCGTACTGACACTTTTATTTTCTCCCACTAGATGTCCGGTGGATGAAAAGCTCATCAGCCCGTTTCAAGGAACCTTCTCCGAAGACGGCGTGTTTGAGACGCAGGTGTACGCTTACATGAAGACATTCCGATTCACTGGAAGTCCTGCCCTCTACATCGAATGTGACGTTCGCATGTGCCACGGTGCATGTCCGGTAAGTCAGCGCCCTCTGTTCAGCGAGGAACTGCTTCAGCTGCTGCCATCTATAGAAATCTCCACATTCAAACTCAATTCTATGCACGAAGCCACGTGTCCGTTTACCTATCACTGCACGAGGATTTTACCGCAGCCGGTCGCCAACAAGCTTCGAATTTTGAAAAAAAATTGTTTCTCATTCCAAAAAAGTGCCCTCAGAACAGGTCTCGCCACTCGGCGAGGAACCTTTTACGCGTTTATCTGCGTCATAATTTTATTGTTACCTTTACCAATTATTCCTTGGATCCGAAATACATGGCTGAGTAGAGGATTTCTAACTTATCCCCATCATTAGGTGCGTCATTTTCTTGTCGCTGGCAAAAAAGACGTAACAGGCGGGATTAAAAAAAGATTGGCATCAGCTTAAGCGTCAGCATGTTCATATTCAGTTTTTCAGCTTATATTCAGGTCAGACTATTCTATTCGAATCCTAAGCTTCTTAGTTGCCGGTATTGCAATAGAGCTGTCTGTTCGAGTAAGAACAAAATGGTCACGTTGTGAACAGAATCTTAATGCCATTACAAAGACCCAATGGCAATTCAAACACCATCTGTAATACATTATACAAGGCAGCGCACTGACCTACGATGAAATAGTCACGAAAAAGCATAAAAACAACACCTCACATGATTTAAACCTATTGATTTTTCTGTGTCGTGCTCAGCTCTGCCGTATCGTCGCGCGCAGTCTTTGCATATGGTACGTGTCATCGTCCGGCTCCCACTCTACCGTCACTGATCCGGTCCTCCCACCATCCGGCTCCCACTCTACCGTCACTGATCCGGTCCTCCCGCCATCCGGCTCCCCTCTGGCGGCCTTGGTCCGGTCCTCCCGCCGTCCGGCTCCCCTCTGGCGGCCTTGATCCGGTCCTCCCGCCGTCCGGCTCCCACTCTACCGTCACTGATCCCGTCCTCCCGCCGTCCGGCTCCCCTCTGGCGGCCTTGATCCGGTCCTTCCGCCGTCCGGCTCCCCTCTGGCGGCCTTGATCCGGTCCTCCCGCCATCCGACTCCCCTCTGGCGGCCTTGATCCGGTCCTCCCGCCGTCCGGCTCCCCTCTGGCGGCATTGATCCGGTCCTCCCGCCATCCGGCTCCCCTCTGGCGGCCTTGATCCGGTCCTCCCGCCGTCCGGCTCCCCTCTGGCGGCACTGATCCGGTCCTCCCGCCATCCGGCTCCCCCCCTGGCGGCCTTGATCCGGTCTTCCCGCCGTCCGGCTCCCCCTCTATCGTCGCTGATCCGGTCCTCCCGGCATCCGGCTCCCCTCTATCGTCGCTGATCCGGTCCTCCCGCCATCAGGCTCCTCTCTGGCGGCACTGATCCGGTTCTCCCGCCGTCTGTCTTTCCTCTGGCGGCGCTGACCGGACCGTGCCGTCGTTCGCAGACGCAGCCGTGCCACTGGCGCCGGGGGAAGCGGTCGGTACCACAGCTGGACACGGCAGAGAACCGGACGGCCGGCGAGCCCCAGCGCACACAGAGTCTGGCGCTCTTCCAGGCGCTGCAAGTTCTAAAGGACGACGAGGAACTGGAGCGGACCAGGAGCGACTCGAGTGGTGCGCCACGCTGCCCCCCCCCCCCCCCCCTTTCGGTTTTGTCCAGTCCCGATCAAATAGCCGACCACTGTACTACATTGTAGCCTATAGGATCGTTAATAAAGCACATATGTTATTTTATTTTTATTCATAAAGGAGCTTTACTGTAAGCACACCATAACTGAGTGGTGTTATCGTAAATCGTTGGGTTGCATATGTCCCAGACGATGTCGGAGAAAAGGCAAACTTTTTCCCTCATCATGTCACGGCTTTGGGGATGATATTCTCCTATTCTGATTTCTATAATAATTCCGAACGATTCCAGGTAGTTTTGACAAGGTGTTTCACTTCCCACATTCCGTAGCCAAAAGCTTGATGCTCGTTCAGGACGCTGAAATATGAAGTCACAAATTGGGGCTTACACTGCCGCAATTCGCAGTTCATTACTTGTTTTCGATATACCTGACGTAATTCGTCGACCGGTTTGGTTATCTGTTGGTCAGGGTCGCTCACACCACTCGGGGTCACGCTCAATCACCATCAGAGGTCCTTGTGAGCAGCCTGCAGGCGTTGAATCAGTGTGTTGTTACGCCATTTGTGATATTTTCCCACTATCATTTTACTATTACTACTAATATTTATCATGATCACACAGTAGTATGACCAACAACTTTGAGTATCACGGACTTGTAGGAGCATGTGAATTTAAAGCAGCAAGTCGGGAGCAGTGAAGTGACCTGACCCTAACTTATGTGTATACGCATTAACAATAAAAGAACCCTTGAAGTTATACGAATTATTTTGGGCGTGACGGCCGTGGTAGTAGCTAGGTGGTTTGGACCCCCGTTCGTAAGTAAAGGTAGGATGAAAGTATGTATTGAAGGGGGGGGGGGGGTGCTCGAATCTTTGACGGGACAGGGCCCCCGGGTGCTGATATGACCTCCGCGGACGCTGGCACTCCGTGAACGCTCCACGACAAAATGCTTTGTGTCCGTCAAAAATGACGTCTGCAGCTGCTTGTTGAACTTAATTATCGACCGCAAACTCGCGATGAGCTTGTCGGATTTTCAAAACTAAGACAGGAACGCCCTCCAATATCAGTGCTTATGCTAACTTGAAAGCCGTCAGAAAAGCCGGAACATGTAGGGAAATCTACATAACGGATGTAAAAAAGTCGCACGGCAGAGCTTGCACAGACGCAATCAAAGACCTCTCGGCCTCGACGCCGCTCTCAATTGCCTATTTGCCCCGCCGTCCGGGCAGTGTGGGCGTCATTACCATTGCAACCACTACGTCTCGGGTCTGCAGATCACGACCGCTTGGCGAAAACCGGCTCTGCATGGCACGGTCGAATTGACGCGACTGGCGCGTGGGCGTCCGCCCCACCGTGTAGACTGTGTCCCGAGGTGTAACGCCGTCTCGGTGGTGCCGGCCGCAGGTCAGCGGCTGGACGTCGACAGCGTGTGCCTCAAGCCGGCCGTGCTGCTGGCCGCCGGCGGCATCGGCGGCTTCCTGCTGCTCGCTTCGGCCGTGGCCTGCTGCGTCTTCTGCCGGCGCCTGCGCAGACAGCGCAAGGAGGAGGACCAGCAGGTGGTGGAGACGTTCCGGCCGCCGCGCATGGTACGTCCGTCTCGCCTGCCGTAGGGGTGGCCGCGAGACACGTCGCAGGGAGCAGACGTCAGACGCGGGCTGGGAGCTGCAGAGTCGTGCCCGGAGCTGGAGAATACAGCTCCTGGAGCGCTGTGCGCGGGCGTCCCGACTCTGCAGCTCAGCCCCGGGTCGCTGGCGAAGAGCTGGGCATTCGGCGGCCCGTGGCATGTTCGAAAGCCACCAGACATTGAAACGTACGGCTCCAATGGCCTTGCGGGGAAGGCAAAGACATGATGCGGGGAGTGTGAGCCGCGATCGCTGGGCATTCTGTGACTGAACTCGGTAGCGTGGCCGGCGTGGTGACGCCGCAGGAGCCGCGGCGACACTGCCAGAGTGGTGCCGAGCGGCGAGTGGTGCGCGCCAGGCGTCGGACTGGTGTACAAACTGCCGGCGGACGGAGTGCGCACGCCGCCTCGGAGCAGCCGGACCTGCCGGTCACGAGCAGCCGGAGCAGCCGGACCTGCCGGTCACGAGCCGCCGCGGCCGTGAATCCTGGTGACCGGCCGGCCGGCTGGCATCGCTTAGTGATTAGTGCGAGGGCCCGAGCGATCAAAACGCACATATTCGATATGCTCGTCTCACTGCTTGAGTGCGACTTGTTTCATGACTCTGTTTCTTCATTTCTCATCATTTCACACCAGAGAGAAGTGAAAGCGGGACGCAGTCATTTTTCGTGTGTTTGTGTGAGGATGGGTACACTTCGGAGTCGCTGTCTGTCGACGTGCTGGGGTAGATGTATGCCTTAGACCACAATAGATCTCAGATGTGCATCATGTTATGATCTATGCTCCGCTGGTTCTCCTTCTGGTGCGCATGATAAACATGACTGTGTTCTCTTATCAGCCCGGCCCTTCAGACAGAATGCTCGTCATGTTGAATAGGTACAGCTTTTGTTCGCTCGGACGCAGACACGTGTGGCAGCTGCCGCAGAGGTCTGGGTAGTGGTCAAATAAGGTGTGTCTGTCCCGCGTCATACCACTTTCTACGGCAAACACCAAATAAACAAGAGCATCGGGCCATGCGTTTGTTCTGAAATTACAAGGCGCCAGGAAATCATGGGCATGGCAGATGCCTCAAAAGACAGCAGCTGATACTAATGATTGGCCAAATCGAGTTATCCATGGCAATCGATTAAGAAGGAACGCAACTTTTATAATGCATAATTAACTGTCTTTTGTGAGTTGCCGTCACAACACGCCAACTTAACCAGTCACGTAAATACCACCGTCTCGAATCCGGAAAAAACTTAGTGTTTAATGTTATCTCGCGCACTGATCGCAATTTGGAAGCTCTTAGATCTCTGCACCCAACGGTTTTCCATCGGTGATGAAGCCTTAAATGGCGTAATGATGGTCATGCAGTAAGTTAAATAATGATAACTCCGCAGCTATGGGACATTTTCCCGTCTGGACAAAATATTACGTAGGCAATGCAAGCCTTAAGTGGCGATTTCCCAATGCTGATCGCACCTTCGGTTGTTAAATACATCTGTTTTAGAAATAGCCGTTCAATTCTACATCGAAAGCCTTCAACAGAAAAATGATGCTTGTTATACATCGGTGCAGTGCGGATGCGGTCGCAGACGGGTGGACCGGCGCGACGCGGGGCGGTGCCTCAGGTCGGCCGGCCTCGTACGGCGCGCGCGCGCGGACCCCTCCCCCCGCGCCCGCCTGCCGGCCGGCCCGGCGGCCCCCGCCGAAGCCACCGGCAGTTGTCTGCGCCCTCCCGTGCTGGTCCAGGCCCCAGACGACTGGAGACTTTGAATGACCGATGATAGCGTCGTGATTGGCAGCCTTCTTCCCCACACAAATGGTCGCCTTCTTCCCCACACACAATGGTGGCAATGAGCAGCCTTCTTCCCCACACACAACGGGCAGCCTTCTTCCCCACACCCAATGGTCGCCTTCTTCCCCACACACAATGGTCGCAATGGGCAGCCTTCTTCCGCACACTCAACGGGCAGCCTTCTTCCCCACACACAATGGCCAGCCTTTTTCCCCACACACAGTGGTCGCGATGGGCAGCCTTCTTCCCCACACGCAATGGTCAACCTTCTTCCCCATACGCGATGGTCAGCCTTCTTCCCCACACGCGATGGGCAGCCTTCTTCCCCCCACGCGATGGTCGTACCCATCGGAGCTACCCCATATCTCCCGTCCTTGATATTAAATGGAGACCTTTGAAGACCATTCAGGCGGCGTGGATCAAGCATTCCCAATCCGCAAGCCTCCTCGGGTGTCGCAGCGATCGCGCCAGATATTCCAGCAAATCTTCTCCGCCGACGCGTGGGTCACACATTGTTGTCAGTTTGTGTTCGCATTTCCCACGGTCAGGAGATCAGATGGTCTTCGGTACCCTCCACCAGCCCTCCCCTCGGGCACTTTGCATCACAATTTCTCCTCTCGTTAGAAATGGCCGGAATGTTCTGCCGATAAAAAGCACGCCATCCGAAGGCTGAGTGAGTTCCACATACGCATTTTGCTTTAAAAGCTGTCGAAGGTTGTGACCATCTCTGGGCGCCCATTTGTCTCCCTCTGCCCGGGCGTGGCGTGGCTCCTGTGATCTTGAAGGACACGCATGCAGGATTCAAGTGGAAAGAAGAATATCGTAGCTCAAGTGAAACTGTATCAGATCAGCGCATTTGCACGTCAGCACAATCAAACTTTGACGCCAGGTCAAGTGGAGCCAACATTGCAAAATTAGTGCATTTGGACCTCGCCTTCATCAACAGAACCAATTAGTGCTAGGATAATGAGGGGAGAGGCATTGTATGACCCTTGCTACGCTAAATCGCCGACGAACAGTCGCGCATTATTGGGTGTGGTCCGCGACACTTGACGCGTCAAATAAGCCACAGCGGGCCAAACTTCACCATCTGAAGAACTACGCATGGCGCGAAAACGAAGAGAGCGAGCATGAATAGCACTAAGCCTTCGCAGGTGGTGGCATGTTTATGTATTCACAGCCTTCGGTACTGTGTGCTATTCATGCCCACCATCATTGAAAGGCGTAGCACGAGGGACCTCACTCATCTATCACCCCCCCCCCCCCTATCGCCCGATAAGGGGGGGGCTGCCAGGGCCTCACTGAGATGGTCTTGTGTAACTGGGACACTAATAAAGATGTCGGATGCTTACTAGTACCAGACATTGTACCAGCTTGTCACGACCTGTCAATTTTTCAGCTTTTTATAGTTCGTGACTTATGACCGATTTGTTAAGGTCATGTCAGTCAGTTTTTTTTTACCAAATCAACAATACAGAGCATTTGTTGGCAATTCGTATGCGCTACTAGTTTGTTTTATAGATCAAATCCATTTCGATGTCAGTGCTGTCAGTCCTGATTGTGTCAGAGTGTAAGGGATCCGGTCATCGGAGGTCAAGCTAGTTAAAACATATCAATGTTTCTCTTTTATGTACGACTCATGACACCTACACTTGCAATTATGCTGTTTTCTACAATCTATTACATAAACATCATTTTGACAATTATCACGAGACCATCTGAAGCGAACTTCTTTGGCAAAGTCATGCTAGGTAAGAAACATGTAAAAAGGATAAATCCTGCTAGATATGGTTTTCGTCGTGATTAGTGTAAAAACTATTCATTGGTTTTTATGTATGTTCCGACTACCTTTGTTTGTTGACCCTTGTATGCAAGCGACACTGATCTTCAAAAGCTCAATAATTTCACGGCAAAGCAATACAAAACATGCGTGAACCCAAAAGCCTACCTTGACCTCAGAGGTCACGAATTGACCCAGGAGAGGAAGGTGATACTTGGAAGGTTGGCCATCTATTGCCATTGATAGATGTCGGCAATGGTGATGTTTCCTTGGCTACAGAGGTCACTCATTTGACGCATACCTTAAACTCGCACACTTCCAGAACTGAACTAAACCACAGGAGAACCTTGTGCTTATATAATTGACTTTCGTCTGAGAGTTTGGAGATTATACCAGCGAGAAAATTATTTATCATCTCCAGCATGGAGTTTGTGGCCATTAACGTGACCTGGAAACAAGAAGCCGCGTACCTTTAGCTAGCTAAGATAATGAGCAACACACTGGTTTCCATCCCGATCCTCTGTCTGTCATAGTTCAAAGTTAGTAGGGATGCCTGTCAGCCCCCCTCGTCATGCGAAGGGTGGAAAATGGTTCCGTCAGGCGTGGGTTCAGTTTGAAGCTTCTTAATTTTGGTCCATCCACTGGTTATGTAATTTAACGTTAAACCTCCAGACATACGTGACTTCACGCGCAGCTATTGAACAGCCGCAAAACGTGGCTTTTCGCTCACGCTGATATTTAGGGAGAAAAATCGTCATTATCTTATGCAGCTGCGGCCGCAAATGGAAGTACCGTGCATGATAGCAGCCTTAGCCCTATCACACTTTTTGTTGCACAGTTTTCGGGTCCGCTCGTCAGCGTTATTAATTTTCTGTTGGTACTCTCCATCTGTTAGTCTTATGAGTCCGACGTCGGGTGGAAACATAAAACGCATAACTGGTGGTCAATAAACGAGTTAGAGGACACATTTGAAAAATTCAACGTCCTTCGCCTTCCAGAGCATGTGTAGTCAGTTCACTGACTTTTGACGTTCATATCTTAAAACGACTATGCAAATATTAGGGAATTTTACGCTGTATTTGAATCGAACCATAACTGAAAGATCCATTCCCACAAACTCCTGGTGCAAAAAAATACCACTGAAAATACACCTTTGTTCGCTGGTTCCCTTGCGAGAGCATACGGGATGAATCTATCATGTAAAATGTGGCAATTAGCAGTTCATCTAAAAACATCCAAAATGTTGTAGCCATAGTCAACGGTCTGCCACTCAAGTTGATAAGCAAAGCGCATATTCGAATGCATGTCAGACTACACTACAACTTCAACTGCCTTAAAAGATTTGGGATATCTTTACTTCGATTGTTAGTGATGCTCATTGGCCTTAGCTTTATATGGATTGTTAATATTTATGTCCTGAGTATAAGTGATCTGGTACCTTCGAAGCCAACACCATGTTTTACCGATGGCGACTGTCCAAGTGCATTGGAAAAATGCGCATACGGATCTTGGAAAGGGTAGGTACATTTCAAATCTGTTATGCATTGGCTTTTCCATTACGAATTAGAGTGTGGTAAATGTGCTAAATTTATAGTCCGTCCGTTCCATTGCGAAACATTAAAAATGATAAACGACGCTTGCCACTGAAATGCACATTGAGCACAAACTCTTGGCTCTTTGGTCGTGTTCTCTTTTGTTTTGAATATTGCATGATACATTACCCAAACGCTAAAAGTAGCGTGCATGTTAAGCAAAGCGATTTCTTCAGTCGTAGATAAAGATGACAAATATTGTTCACTTCAGTGTTCGTAAAGAATGCATAGATTGCTACAACATCACAGACGATGAACGTCTACATTTCCCAGTAGCAGTACAGCTTCCAACCGCAAGTTTATTTTTTACGCCAACAGTATCAAAGCGCTGATAAACATGGGCGCGTGGGACATGATAACGATTTAATGCAGGCTTGTAGCTTCCAGATTCCGTGAATTTGTCATTGCGTCATCGCTATCTTAAAGCTCAAACAGGGCTAGGGCTATAGGCACCAGAATGCCATACGCATCAGCGTATAGTAAGCATTTCCCCAAATACAGGGGGTGGAGCAGGCCGGACACGCGTGGTCATTCAGCAGCTCTACATTCTGGTCATCAACTGCTCTGTTGTTGATATTAGACATTAAAAGTGTTTTGCATGCAAACCACAGCGGATGATTTTTTCCGCGTCAATCCCACAGAACATATCACATACCAATTTCGTTTTTCAGCCTTGGAAACTGTCACAGGAAAAACAAAGAATTTTCTTCCAGTCAACTCAAAAGAAGCGAACACATGGATGCCAGGAGAATTTTCAGAAAGAGAAGATTGGTACGCCGGAAACGGAATCCAATTAATCTATGGCAAGATTCGCACTTGCCACAGAAAATGTGGCAGGTTTGGGTGTCATTGAAGCAGACCGAGGAAGTAACACCTCCAGAACTGTTCTCGCCGATTGACAAGCACGGGTCTAGAACGCCCTTTGATAATATTGTAGCCGACTTATTGTCAACAGGACGATCTTATGTCACATTCAACGGTGTGAACATTACTGTTACTGTTCATCCAGCTGCAGATAGCTCCTCAGACTGGTTTATCGCACTCAGAAGAGACGTCTCCGGCATGAAAGATAGGAGACCAGAGCGTCGGATATTAAACAGTGTCGGTCATAAGCATTACATACATTCAACGCGTCATCAAAATCGTAACTATGCAACCTCACTTCTAGAAAAACCTCAGAATGACAGTCATAATGGAATGGGAGGGAATACGTCTGCTCAGTATCCCTTGACAGTGCCCACCAGTCAAAGCGAAGGGTTAGGTATTCGTAGGCGCTTTCGCCGACAAGTGCCATTGAGATCAACATTACATCTATCTGCTGATCCACTCATTAACCGCGTTGCAGCTGTGAGCCCCATTATTCCAGCCGCAGAAGATATTATCATGAAAAGCATCGACAAACGCTCACCTAAGTCAAGAAAATGGAGCCAAAGAGCCCGACGGGGGGACGAAGAGGCAGAAAGCGCGCTGAGGCCTCTGCCAGCAGTTCTGGAAAACATCGAAGACGGACCAGTCATCATCGAAGACCTCTTTGCTCCGAAGCAAAGCTTATCCCCCCTAAGAAAAAAACGACATCACAAACACTTAACTGAGGTAATTAGAACTACGAAAAACGCCTACGATGGTGCAAATCTTGAAAAGCATGGACTAGCTATGAAAAGAGCATCACAAAAAGGGATTAAAGAAAGGCAAAGTGCATGGAGCGTCAAGACCGGAGCTAAGCGTCAAAGTTCAAAAGCTTCTTCATCGCTGAATTCAAAGCGAGACCGCCGTAGGGAATTTCATCAACAGCCCACAGAAAAAAGGGATCAAGACACCACGCAGCAACTAGTCAAGCCGATGAACAAAAAACGTGTTGCCAAAGAACCTTTTTTTCAAGAAAAGTCGGCAACGATTTCAAAGCGATCCCACCACAAAAGAAATCACTCTCCTCGCTCAGCTGTCCACGGATCCACAAATACCGCTCGTTCCATTAAAAAGCCGAGGAGTATGGAAGGGTTGAGTGCTCAACGCCATCAACACTCTGGCAGAGATGTCAGTATTGATAGTGGAAAATTGAAGCAGACAAACAATAAATCAAAGCGTAAAAACAATGTCTTGAAAAATACACAGATTTCTCGGCTTGAGAACAGAAATATAGGAAAGCGATCAAAACACACGGATTCAGACGACAGTAAAGAAACTAAAACAAATTCGACGACAGAAAAACCAATAGATCCCTTTGCCTATCTGCAAAACCAGGAAGAAGAACATATTGATTATTATGACGTAAGCAAAAGAGGCCTTTTAAACGATGTTACAGACCTTGACCCCGAGGCTTCTATGAGCGCTGCCCCCTCGGCAGCTGACAGCTCACGTGCCACAGAACCCTTCCAAAGAAAAAAAGCCAGAAAGAAACGACAGACGATTGCCGAACAGGTGGAGGACGATGATGAGGTAGACATTCCCTTCTGGCCTGAGACAGTGGAGCTGCTGCAGCGTGCTAACACATTTTCCGTGCCTGCACATGACAGCAATGGTCATATTGTGTTCGTCCGTCGTGTGCGCGATCTTGGGTCCTTGGACTTAGGGAGGTCACTTGCGAAGCTTAAAGAAACGATGGCAAAGATATTCGGACGGTGCTCACAAGCCCGGCGCAGGAAACGGTCCCACCGTGGAGCTCCCGCAGTTGTCACAGACCAGCTGTTGAACCGGGAAACGTGGGAAATACAGGGTGAAAAAAATGAAATGGTTGACTCAGCGAAAATTGATGTGAAAATGGATGACGACAAGCCCTTTAATGTGACAACTGTTTTACGGCCAATGGGGAAAAGAAGTAACGTATTCAAGAAATTACGCAAACAGCCTGCAAACGAACAGAGGCTATGGCCAGGGGGTTTTGTTTCTGATGAGTCAAGACATCTTAGAGGTCTTCTAAGTCAAGGCAGATACACAAGCAAAATCGGCGACCTGAAAAGCTTCGAAAGTCATTTAGAAGAAAACATGCCTGAAAATATCCATCCCGGATCCAATGAATATTCCGAAGAAGATTTTTTGGAATTGAAATCTCACTCAAAGAGAGCGTCACCTTTCAAAGCCAGTGGACAAACGCGGGTTCATGGTATACCGAGGACTCCAGGAAAGGAGCAAAGGGCTATAGCTTTCAAACGAGAAGAGTATAATTTAACACCGAACAAAACAATTAATTTCAACGTCCCACCAGACTCAACTGTCGGACTTGACCTCTCTGTAGACCAGTCGCCAAATCCTTCCAGCCCCATCGCCAGGGCCAAAGTATCCTCCGACAAGGGCCCTACTTCCAAAGTCTCGGTAACGAAGAAAAATGTTGAGCATCTGTCGGCAGACGATAACACGTCCTGGCACCCAAAATTTGGTCGGGCAGAAGCTTTACGGAAGACGTCGAGCCATTTTCAAAACCAGCGTTCTAAGACAGCTACAAGTGAGCACATGGATGGGTCACTTCGTGGCGAATCTAAAAAATCACCTTCTACAGGATGCGCGAGTTATAAAAGTATGGTCCATCGCGCTCTGAAGAACGCGTCCGGCAGGAAAATCGCGCGAGAACCGTATGTCATCACACGTAGGTACAACGATTCCAAGACTCGCTCAGTGAAAGACGAAAATGGCGTGCGGAAAACTAGGGAGCTCAGTTCACCCGCAAGCCTGGAGCGAGTCAACCTGCTCTACATTGCTGATGGTGACACCCTGCCTACGACGTGGCAGGCACCCCTGGGGAACGTTAAGCGTGATGTGGACGTGTCAGCAGAGGTCAAGGTGGAGAGCAGCGATGGTGACTCGGCCACCACCGACACATCTGGTGTGGAGAGCACAAGTACAGAGCCGCCAACAACAATGGAAATCATTATAGTGAAGGAAGGCCACGACAATGTTTTCGGCGAGAGTTCGAGAGATGACAACAATAACACCGAAGGCTCAGTGGGGAAAATAACGTTTACGACATCGGAAGATAAGGACTCAAAAGTTTTTGAATCTGTGGATGCTCTTTTGGACAATGCAGTCTTGCCTAGTAATCGTCATGATGTCAAGACAAAGGTTTTTAACACACATTCTTCCAACCGAAAATCTCCACTTCGAGATTCCAGTGCTGCTCAGACAGTCACGGCGGCGGCAGCGGCCGACAGCAGCGGCAGCCGGCGGTCTCAGGCCGAACATGTGAATAACGCTGTCACCTCAGATGGGCAAGACTGGAGTCTATCAGGCAGCTCTAATCGACTGATGGACCTGATCTCTGATATCGAGAAAGCCCTTCGCGTTCCTCTTGGAGGATCCGAGGCTCCTCCCAAAACCGAGGACATAACAGTGGTCGATAGCAGAAGTAACGCTGATGGTTTAAAGCTCTATAACAGTCAGCCCGAGATCGTGGAAAATAAATCTAGCTACTTTTATTCTTTGAACGACCCTAGCTCAGCTGTAGTCAGTAGTGCTGACAGAAAAAGGCCAGATAGTGTGAAAGCACGCCTAGTGAACAGCTCACCCAGTCTAAGATTACAGTCCTATCAGTATGCGTTTTCAGATCCCGTCAGCACGGGAGACGTGAGCGAAAAAATTTATCTGAAGGGATTCGACCCTCCTCAAAAGCCAACAAGACCCATCTTTGTTGATTCTGCAGCCAAAAATATGATACGGATTGATCCGTCCTATAAAACAGTTGTGTCGGCAGTGCACCCAAAATACCGTAAACCGTTGAACGGCAGAGGATTCTTTCGAATATATAACGACGGGCTTAAGAACTCGAAAATACAGGATGTAGACCTCGTTAGTGGTCTGAAAATGAATAACAACAAGGAGATAATGGTAGAAAGCTTTGAAGAACGGCCTCTTGGAGAGAAAATCGGAGACATCACCACCAGCAAATCTTCAGGAAAGCCACAGTTTCCGCATGTCTTTGACATTCATGGAAATATTGCAGTGAACGGCCAGTTATTTGGTGAACCGTCACCAAACGATCAGCAAGATACAATGGTTAAAGTTGTTTCCTCCGTAAGCTCAGGGTATTCTGATTCACCGAGTAATCCTGATCCATCAGTGTCGGTTGAAATAATCAACGACGATGACGACACCCGAACGGATAAGCGTGATGCAGGCAGCCCGACAAACGCCAACATGTTTGGTAACGAAATACACGCAGGAGGTAAGACGATGCCCGGCTTGGAGCGCCAAAATTTAGTCATCACAAAAAATGACTTGAACGAAGGAAGCCTGCAGTCCGATGGCACTCCAAATGTTCTCAAGAAGAGGTCAGAAACATCGAATGCCGACAATAATGATCCACCACATTACGCACCTTCGACGCAAATCAAAGTACAAAGCATTTCGAAGATGGAAGGCGGCACTGACACGATGAGTGACGCAATAGAGAGAAGGGATGTGAGACATGTCTATAGAGTTCCAGACAAAGTTGTTCAAGGCTCTTCAAAACGCAATGCAAATCTTGGCGGCTCGAGTGAACGAACAAATCACAATGATCAGAGGCCTGGAGCACCACCGCAAACTGTAAAGGTTTATTCGAAAGACCCTGGCGTGAAAGGTGCGACAATGAGTCTACTGAATAACTTAGCATCAAAGCTTTCACTTCAAAATGCAGTGAAAAATAACCAAAGGTCATTGCACGATGGTAGAGTTATATGTTCAAGAGCCGACTCGGGCTGCTTCCAGAAGCCTTTATCATTGCCTAATTGGCAAGACAGAAGATTTGTTACACCGAGAAGTAAGGATAGATATGTTGCACCTTCAAAGGCCCGGCGTCTTCTTCGAGAAGCCAGAAGCCCTGTGTCAAGGCAGAAATCGAAACGGGATGTTTCTCGCGCAGTTTTTGAACAGCGTAAAGTGTATTTTGAAAGTCCAAACACAATTTACGAGGCCCCTGGATCAATATATCAGATTGTCGATGGTCAGGAGCGAGGTGAGCGATCGAAACATGCAATTCCTTCAACTGTCGCGGGCAATACTGACGCTACAAAAAGTGAGCTCTTGCTGATTCACGAAGCACCAAGCTCAGCATTCACACCAACTGCGAATGTAAAATCTACCGGATCAGTCAACTTGTCCAGCATTCCCAAAGCGCACGAGAAGGCTCTGAAAGAGGCTACAGTACGTGAGCAAAATAAGATGATCGACTCCGATGAAGGATTCTCAGGCAGCTTGCCTACCTTTGAGACGAAGATTAACAGTGGGGGACAAATATCCGAGGACCAAGCAATTCCTATATTTCCACCAACACTGGCGAATGATAAAACATCCTTACACCGCAAGGACGATGCAATAACGACAAATACCGAAGTGAAACAGCAGACATTCAAAGCTGGCGAAGAAAAAGCTGAAATTGATGTGGCATATATCAGTGGGCGTCCGAATCCAATACAGCCTACCAATACGGCTAAGCCTACCGGCGGAACTAGAACCAAAGAAATCGTTTACAGTGAAATCGGAGCGGACAGATCTTTGCTCGGAAGGTTTCCAGCATTGTCACTCAGGAAAAAGAGACGATCTCCGAGGACGAGGCAACGTATTAGAAAAAGAAAACATGATGTTGATGCTCTTAGATCGGAACTACAGAAGCTGAATGATATCGGCTCCAGGATGGGTATGAATTTCTTTAATAGGGGTTCTATTGACAGGATTGTGAGGGAAGAATCAAAGCGCAGTGGGAGGAATGGCCTAAGAGGGAAAACAACAAAAAAGCGCCGTGGGAAAAACTGGAGAACAGGCTCAAAATCTATTAGCAAAAGAAAGCTTTTTGCTAAAGGAAAGGCAGCAACAAAGAGAAGGACGAGAAGGGTTTCTGAGCATCTCTTTAATAAGCATACAAACCGCTTCTCCCCTGATAGCGTGGTGAAGCCCAGGAAAAGTCGTGGCGAACCAACCAAACGACGTTTGGAAGGTGCCAATGCGGTGTCTAATTCAGCCTGTCAATTAGCTGATTACCACGATAAATCGCATAAGAAAAAAAGACGCAGCATGAATTTGTCCGGACAAAGTCGCATTCGGCAGATTTTCCAACAGCACAATCAGGAGCGGCAGCAGTCAAATAAGCCGACATGGTTTGAAACCAGACGCACATCGAATGAGGGACCGGCGTACACGTATTTTAACGCTGTCGGTAATGGGGATCCTCTAGAAATAGCCAACCCAGAAGGATATGGCTTTTCAAACGACCGTGAAAGAGAGGAAACACTGAAGGTGACCAACTCAGCGGGAGAACCACTTGAGTTAAAAGCAGTACTGAGGGGAAGGAGGAGAAAAAAGCGAGAGATTTGGCCCATTGATCACTTGGCAACAGCACACAAACAAGCAGCGCAGCGAAGTTTAACTGCCAATAATCTAACTCCCGTCGAACATGCACTTTCCAGCGGGTGGCAAAAGGCAACCTTTCCAGCACAATGGCATGGGACTGAGGAGCTGTCAAAACGCAGTGAAGACTTTCCATCGATGCGTAAAAGATTTTTTGACAAATCGAGGCTCGCAAGTTCAGCTTCTAAGCCTGCGGTAAACTCTCCGAGGGCAGCGACGTCTCACAGGTCCAGGAAACAGCTGTACAACACATTTACACACCACAATGCACCTGACGCGTACGTATCCAAGCGTCATAAAATTCTGGACGGATGGAGGGCGCAAGGAAAACTTGATTCGTTACATGAACACCTTGCCAGTGCTGCAGAAAGATCGCCGAAGATCATTAGCGAAAGGGCTACTGTTATGCATAATCCAAAGAACTCCACATCAAATCAAATTTTTGCTACAATGAGTAACCAGACACGAGCAGAAGCACTCAAGAAATCACTTCGTCCAGAAGTTTCCAACAAAAACCCCGGTTCTGGGACGTCGGAACCTTCACCGACACCGAAGGAGCCCAAGGTTACTGGTTTGGGTGTTTGGAGAAAGCTGGGAGAAATATTTGATATCAGTCCCAAGGTAACGGCCGACAAACTGGCCGAGCCGACAGCAATGTCTACGTCTAGCCCCAACCCTCTTCAGTCAATGGTACCGGCCGAAGAATCGATAAAAACCGCGCCTCTAGCTCAGAAAGGCGGCTCACGTGACTCGAAAGCCCAATCTGAGCAGAGTTCGAAGAGCACCACAAAAGAAGATCGTCCATATAAATCAGCTCTTCGTGCAGCCATAGTAGACCGCCTACTGCAAGATCTGAGGAAGATGTCCTCTGCCAAGGGCTCCGAGATGGCTCGGGCAGAGTCAGATCTCATCGAAATCCTACACGATTATCAAACAGACCTCATGGACGACGATGAGCACACCATAGCTGGAGAACCGTTTCAAGGTAAGTTCCTGCTGAAATATGATCGTGGTTTTACTAAAGCAAAGAAATGATGGTGTTCACATATGTCACACAGCATTGCTGATCGAAGGATAGACCCTTAAGGAATCCTCGTAAGACTGCTTGGCTTTACTTAGATTCCATGCAATCCACTTATTATTTACATCCCTTGGAAGCGTGTGTAGTAACCCTTGAGTTAATCGAGCGCCTCATACTTCCAGCTCTGGCTGTCTTACAAGCAGCCAAAAAAGCAATGGCACTAACTGAAGCTTTCATTGCTTTTAAATGGACACAGAATGTTTTCATTTCAAAAATGATTCGTACGTTCTGGCGCGGGTTTGTTATAGAGGCGTCGTAGGCTTCACCGAGAGTTTTCAAGTGATTTATTTTGCCGCCTGCTGTGCTATCTTAATGCTACGTAATGCCGTCGGACGAAACTGTAATGGCAGGTAAAGGAAGGGACACTCAAAAATCCAAAAGTCAATTTTCCAAACAAAGGTCAACTCAGTCATATTTGGTCACGTGAGGAATACTTACGGACGAAATGACCTGTCTATAAAATATAAATATTGACTACATAAAGATGCTGATTGCTTAAATGGTCAGTGCTAAAAGGGACAACATCTATGTCCTCAGCTTCTTAGCTTTATCTATTGGTTTCCGTTCTCATCTTTGTTTGGATTTCATCAAAAGAATGTATTACATCAAGGTAGCAAAACCGACGTAGGTCAGAGCAGATAATAAGTGAAGGGAGATTTCAGTCGGATCACGCTGAGCCCCTTGTTCTTGTTCCTTTTGCGTTCCGATTACAATCATTAGACAATCATATGATGATCGATGATCGCAAGCGTTTCTTTTCGATCGATGGACGGTAGTATGAAGTTCACAAAATCACAGAGTTCGCAAAGCACAAGATAACATCTCGTTGGTATAACCACAAACAAAGTGTGAACACCATAAACTAATCCGGCCCTGGAAGCGCAGCTCGCATGCTTAGTTATAGGGATTGCACAAAGACTGTTTGAACTGAGATGAGAATGATCAGTCTAAACCCTGAGCCCAAGTTCTACTCCACATTTTTTCGGATCACATGTGTTCCTATTTTCAGGTCAGTCCGATCCACCAGATCGGATTGACCTGAAAACATTAATGTCATGAACAAGGTGGTGTCAAGGTAACGCATAGTGCCTCCCATATCGACTGTCTCGTTTTCAGCGAGGCTACAAAAGGTCACAAAGACGTCTCAATTTCAGCGATAACCAGACGTCACACGGACTGTCTCACTCTCAGTGACCCTCAGACGTCACATTGACCGTTTCACACCCAGTGACATTCAGACGTCACACGGACTGTCCCACTCTCAGTGACATTCAGACGTCATATTGACTATTTCCCCCTCAGTGACATTCAGACGTCATATTAACTGTTTCACTCTCAGTGACATTCAGACGTCATATTGACTATTTCCCCCTCAGTGACATTCAGACGTCATATTAACTGTTTCACTCTCAGTGACATTCAGACGTCATATTGACTGTTTCATACCCAGTGACATTCAGACGTCACACTGACTGTCCCACTCTCAGTGACCTTCAGACGTCATATTGACTGTTTCATACCCAGTGACATTCAGACGTCACACTGACTGTCCCACTCTCAGTGACATTCAGAAGACATATTAACTGTTTCACTCTCAATGGCATTCAGACGTCATATTAACTGTTTCACTCTCAGTGATATTCAGACGTCATATTGACTGTTTCACCCTCAGGGACCTTCAGACGTCACACGGACTGTCCCACTCTCAGTGACATTCAGAAGTCATTTTGACTGTTTCATTCTCAGTGACATTCAGACGTCATGTTAACTGCTTCACTCTCAGTGGTATTCAGAAGTCATATTGGCTGTTTCAGTCTCAGCCACTATCAGCTGTTGTATGTCATAGCAGCCCATATTATTGTGGTGTTGAGTAGCTGTTAGGTCCCTTGTGCCATTGTCGCGCATAGCTTTTCACTTCACTTCGACCCAGGAGTCGTAGTGTTCTTGTAGTAAGAAATACAGGTATTTAGTGGTGCCGTTGCTATTGTGTTCCACTTGTTTTGAGCTAGTCCTGCGCCTCTATCGGCACGTTCAGTATCACATCATGAGGTGCAATCGAAGTCGCTGTGACAGCAGTCATTGTTAATCAACATGTAAGCAAGAGCATACCAGACTGTTTGACTATACTTACGTACAAACGAGGTGGTGTCTAAGCTGTTCACGCTACTTGTAAACATTTCATCTTTGAACGGACGTATCGAACTACATTATGAGCCGGGCGGATAGTTCAGCTTCACTAAACCAGAGACAAACAACAGTCAAAATACACGGCATAGTGTCCAACTACATGTACGTGCCGGCTTCCGGTGAAATTGGGCTCTTAATTTCTTGACATACGGCCAAAGTTGTGATTGGAGCAGCTGATTGTTTTTCCTTCACATATCCTTTGATGTCACTAGTGATCTCCTTGTCAACACATTACACTTTGCCACGACGCACATGCTGAGCCAGTCGATTTATGTTTGAGCCACTCCAATCGGCTGGTTAGTTAGGAAAAATATATCGGGCTAAAGCCCCTCCCCAAGTGTGACATGCATGCACAAATATTCAACCCCTGACCAACGAATGCCCACGCCGCTTAACGTTCAAAGGGTGACATGAGGGATGCATATGACACACCGATCATTAGTCACCCGGGACCTCGAGAAAACGGCTCGCGATAGTCGGCAGGAAGGGTGTCCAGGCCGCGTTAAAATGGCATTGAGACAAACCTAACAAACTGATGCGGCGCGGAACGACATGAGGCAGTGCAGTGGTTCACACTACGCGGAACGACATGTGGCAGCGCAGTGGTTGACAGTACGCGGAGCGACATGTGGCAGTGCAGTGGTTGACAGTACGCGGAGCGACATGTGACAGTGCAGTGGTTCACAGTACGCGGGAAGACATGTGGCAGTGCAGTGGTTCACAGTACGGTCCCCGAAAAGCGGCGCACATGACCTGTCGTCGCATAATCTGGGAGCCCATTTATGAAGGCTTTGACAAACTACCAAGCATAGACTTTTCTCTCGGTAGAGATACAGAAAAAAAAACTACTAAATATTTTGTACCCACAACCTATTTCTCACTGAAAGTACAGTCCAAACCCGAATGCGTTCATCAGCTCAGACCATATTAGAGACCAAAAACCGCCACCCACCCCATGCCAGCGAGGTCATACTCACACACTGGTGGTCTCCAACAACCTCTTCATAAGGATCTCCCTGAGGAACTGCTTATTGAGAGTTTTAACAGCAGTAAGATATCCCCCGGAGGTAGACGGCAGTCCGTGGATTGTCATCTTCACATTAGCCCAAGACTATTTCTTCCAAGACTATTTCTCAGATGGAAAAGCCTTTCCACGGGGGACAAACTGGCATTGTCATGAGCACACTGAGCGAACAAGTTTACAAAATCTGGCCAGCTCATCAGCTTGAAATCAAGCCTTAACACACAAAGCTCCAATTTGGCGCTTGTAAACCACTGGACCACAAAGGGATAGTCTTCTCCAAACAAGCCACAATTCACGTGCGCTTAGACAGACCTTAGCTCAAATCCTTCTGCTGATCCCTACTAGGTATATTTTGAACTGTGTTCGAACAATGGATCCTGAAGTTCTTTCAACTGGTAGTTTTGTTGCCAATCTACGTCGCCATAGAACAAGAGCAAATCCTTCACTTGCAACACAGGTATTCTTTGCCTCAAAACCGCTTCTGGGTGGTTTTCTGCCTACACCATGGCAAACCGTCTCTAAATTGACAACAAGCTCAAGACTCAAATGCTGAACAAACGGTAAGAAGCAGTGGTAGATAGTTTCCGGACCGGCCCGGAAGGTTGTGTTTCGAAACGGCATGACGACAACTTTGACGCACTGATACGGTACGCCATCCTACGCGGCGGCAATTCACAGTAAAGTCCCCTGGAAGCAGCGCACATGCCCCCTTGTCATAATCTGATACTCATTGATGAACGGTTTGACAGGTTGTCAAACGGATAATTTTGTCATGGTAACGATGAGGAAAAGCTGCTAGATCCTTTGCACCCACGCTATTGACCGAATATAGGTGACACAGTGGTTCAGTTTATTACTGTTTGGGATTGGATATACTGCACGCAATTTCTTACGGCCAGCCGATAGCTTTTACTCGCAGATAGGGGATCCTCCAAGTGCGCGAGTTAAGCCCCTGTCGAAACTCTCGGCGTTGTGCCGGCACCACCATATATGTGTTTGTTCAATCGGATGAACTGCCGGCTGGATTGGCCAGGGCTGCTTAGCACGCTTCCTATGTTAAGAGCCGCGTTGGACGGATACGTGACAGTTTTGCTGGCGCTATTGCAACAACTGACAGGTGAATTATCCCTAAGCCCGCTTACTAGTTTACCAGTTCGCTCGTTAAACACCAGCTTGATCAAAAGAGACCAATACTTATCGCGGGCTTGAGTACTAAGCCCTCTTGGTGTATTTAGCCTGTTGAGGGCTCCATGATGGAATATTCCACCTCCTCTTTTACTTTGTTCGACAGCGATGTTGTACAACCTGGCGAGAGTCACAACTATCTGTTCAGTTGTTCGTAGCGACTCTCAGTGCAAAATGTCTGCAGAGTGTGGTACGACGCAACGGTCTTGGATTTTCCCATCACAGTCGCATCCTATACTGGTCACGAGTGGTGAGACTTAATGCCTTAAAACGGGTCGAGGAACTTCTAAATTGCTCGTGAAGGCTTATATTTATAGAGCTTCCAGGTCGTGCAAAGCAGTGGCTTCGGCATCGATACCCCACCGGTTTTCCATTAATGCGCAAATGGGACGATCCAGCAAACATCTCCCACTAGCTCTTGCCGCCTGTCAAAGCTGCATGCCCCCGTCGCAGCATACATCATTATGTTATGATATTGAAGTACATGACATCATTTTGACATCCTTCG